TTACCACACATTACACCGAAATCGCATGCAAGGATCCACCAGCTGTCAACATCTTCGGTTTCAGTGAGTTCGGAATTGTTGTGACGGCAGGTATTGTAGTTTTGTGACAGTAGGTTTGGAGGAATTCAGGTACTGAATAGGTTGTGGTCAATTGTTTGCATCTTAGTTAGGAAAGAAAGAAAAGCTGAAAGGCTTGTCGAAATATTGACTTGAGGAGCAATTTTGGAAGTGTGCTAATGCTAATGCAACACACTTTCCAGTGCATTGTATCAGCATTGATCAATGTATACGAAGGATTATCAATACTAGGTTCGCCTTCATAAAATCAGCTATTTCCCTGAATACACGCAAAATCACCCGACAGCCTATATAGGTTGCTTAAACTAAAGAATCTGGGAAATTTAATGATGTGAATGGACCATATTTTTCCTTTACAAACCTGACGACAACGTTAATTTGAAGATGTTGACCTTAATACTGCTACAGTAATGTGCATGTTGATCAGCAGAGATGAGCGACGCCGAGCAATTGAGATGCCTGCAGAAAATCAGTAATTTCTTTGAATGTATGCAAAATCACCCGACAACATATCTGCTTTTCTGAAACTAGAGAATCTGTGCAATCCAATGATATGAAGAAATGACCATGCTACCGTACAACGTTGAGAACATGATCAGTTCAAAATGTAGTCATGTGAAGCCAGGAACTCGTTTTCAGCATTTCAGTGTACAAATGTTGTACATTTGTACAATATTTGTACACTGACTGTTGCTTCAGAATTAATGTTTCCGATAGTTGTACATTGAGTTAACATGCAAAATACTGTTAGAGTACAGTAGTACCATCACTGAATTGAGTTTCTGCAATACTGTTGTTGCATCATTGTACTTCAGCATGACACTACAGGATTTTTCTTCGAACAAATATTCAATAAATGAGGTCTCATTCAATTGGATGATTGCTTCCTTTAAGCGACACTTCACAGAATCACTTTTTTTGGTCAATTGCTGAACAGGCAATTGAATGATTCGATTTGTGAGCCTTCATCCGGTTTCCTATCATCACTACAAAATATAATTAACCCCTTTTTAGCGCCTATAGAAAACTGGAAAGATGTTCAGCCTTTGTGAAGTGCGTAGAAGAGACCGTTTACGGAAAGATCATCGATAGTGGCCAGGACGACATGCACTGTTGTTTGTCATAACTGATATATGTATCGAGTTATTGGCTTATGAGAAGAGGCCAGCAGAAAGAGCCGTCAAACGAAAATGACACGTGCACTATATTATGCATCAAATTAAAATCTGTTGATCACCCACGAAATATTTTCCACGTTTCTGTTACCTCAGGACGTATTGGATGTCATCGACTATCGCTGAAGGTGCTCGCCTGTCTAAAATCCATAATGGCTCACATCCTTCTCTCCGATCCACACTGAGATAACTATTGTTACAGTGCTCCACTTCGAGAGGGTATATTTTTGAAGGTATTTCATTACTCGGATCCTTCCATCTTTTCAAGAGGGTTTATGTGATATTTCTTCTTTTTTCTTCTTCAAGATAAGCAAAGCAGAGATTCCTCTTCCTATCAGTTCATGTTTGTACCAATTTTTTGGAATATTTTGAGTTCAGTTCAGCCCTCAAACTGATCATAATGTGAAACCTTAATGGCTTGACTTTACGGATATCAACACGGTGATAATTTCTAGATTCCTTATGACTATTTCTTAAGGAGTTGATGCTTTTCGTGCAGTAGAGATCACAAAGAAAGTTGTTTGGTAACACGTCAGTTGTGTCCTTTATCACAACTTTTCAGCCGAAACCTGAATATTAGAAAATGTCGACGATTTCAACGTGATCGTATAATGCTATATAGCAATAAATTCAATTAACAATCTGAATATTTATCCAAGTTATATTCATACATACTCAAGCAAATAAGTATTTGCCGAATGTGCAGACTGCTAGCGTATTGTTGTGGCAGTTCTGTACACTGCGAATTATAACAGATCAATGATCACTACGGAAAAAGGATGAACTAGAGAGAGCGTAGCTCACGAATTTAGTGTATTGCAATAGCAATAGCATCAGTTCCTTTCTTTAGCACAATGAATCATAGACCATTCTTAAAACGTGCGATGGGATTTTCACTACAAACAAAACAAGAGCTATTCTGAATTGACTAAACCTTTCGAAAGCTATTGATGTGTCGTTTTCAGGTTTCATTCTACGTTCAGTATACCAAAAAAAAGTGAGCACACGTTTTCGAACATGGGCAATATCAATACAGTTGGTCCGAATGAAGCGCTTGTGATTTCAGGTAGAGCATATTCACGTGAATCTTCGTCGAATCCATATTCTCGATGTTAAACTTACCAATTTTTTTGTGAAATTCTGCAATAGAGAACGTGGTTTCTGATTTGTGATGTTCGGTCTCTGAAGTGAATCTCACTTCTCATTAATTCGCGTTTGTTCAGGAGGATGTTGCGGAAGTATGTCAAAGAAGATGATAATTGGTGGTTGGGGTTGGTCATGGTGGTTCATCACGAACGTTCAACGTCTCTCACTCGAAGTGATGACACTGAATCCGAGGTCAGAGAATGTCGAAACCGCGCAAGGTGTTCCATTGACTGTAACGGGTGTAGCGCAAATCAAAGTTATTACCGGTTCGTTGAAACNGCAAACTGATGAAAAGCAAACTGGTGTGTGGTAATGAACTGTTGAATTCAATTAGGTGTCGGTGTTGTGAATATTTGAGTTGATAGGTAATGAATAATGATTTCTGCTTGCAGATAAAGGTCTCTTAGAGGCGGCATGTGAGCAGTTTTTGGGAAAATCCGTTGAGCATATTGCTGAAGTTATTCTGGCGACACTCGAGGGACATCTACGTGCTATTCTTGGTAAAATGTTCATTTTTATCTGTGTGTTGCGCATATAATTTGTGAAAATTCTGTCAACTTATTGAAAAGAAATTCTAATACTGCAACGTATTAACTTCAAATAAACTGAAACAATTGCGAAGTTATGCACGATGGAATACTAGGAAATCAAAGGTTGAAAGAGAGATTTCAAGCAGTTGCGCATTCCTGTGAAATAGTTTGAGCTGGTGGGATTTAAGGAACGATGACAGTGGAAGCGGTCTATCAGGATCGTGATCGTTTTGCACAACTGGTGCGTGACATTGCCGAGCCGGATTTGGGTCGTATGGGCATGGAAATTCTCTCGTTCACGATCAAGGATGTTGTCGATAATGTGGAATACTTGGAATCACTTGGAAAAGCGCAAATTGCGGTGGTGAAAAAAGACGCCGAAGTAAGTTCTATGGCAGTTCTCGTTTCAGTGATTTTTGACGTTTCCCAAATTGATCATAATGAGAACAGTGGTAAAATAATGGCAGTGATAGTAAAATAATGTCGGTAAACGTATTGTCTGCAATTGTTTAGATTGGAGTGGCTGAAGCGAATCGTGATGCGGGTATAGTAGAAGCACAGTGTGAAAAAGAGGCAGCAGATACGAGATACAGTGTTGAGGCGAAGATTGCGGATGCGAAACGTGAACTAGACATGCAACAAGCTGAATTCGATGCCACCGTTGAATCAAAGGTAGGTCGAGATCGGAAAATTACGAAGTGGCGCCTTAGAAAGGGACTGTAAATCGTTGAAACAGAAGAGAGGAGGTTCAAATCATCAGCAACAATAGAGAAAACGGTTTGACAGTGAGTCATCGCTTATAACAGATAAAAAAGATAAGAATGGAAAAGAAAAGGGTCAGTCTTTTTGAATGTTGATAATTGCAGAAAGCGGAGGCAGAACTGGCGTACGCTGTGCAGAAGGCAAAATTGATGCAGTCGATAAGAGAGGAGGAAATAAAGATCGATATCATCGAACGACACAAAAATGTTATCATAATTTCTTTGCTTTATCTTATCATTTAGTGATAACGTTTTATGATTTTTTATGCCTTTCGACGGCATAGCATCGATCCATTTTTGATGTTAAAAGCGCTAACAGTTTGACTATGGAAAGGTTTGAACAGGTGAAATGAAACGATTTGAATTAGGCGTTTAAATTTGATTAGATTATTCAAAAAGACGACAATGAAAATTTGAATCTTATGATTAAATGATTTGGAACGAAAACGGTTTGAAATTATTCTCGAACATTCAAGTTGTAAATTTTATATAAAAGGTAGGAAATGCTGAGTTTATGCAGTGTTAAGATGCATTGCAGATTACGTTAGAAGAGAAAGAAGTGGAACGTAAAGAAAAGGATTTGGTTGCTGAGGTGAAGTTACCGGCAGAAGCCGAAGGATATCGAGTGCAGACGATTGCCGAGGGAGAAAAGTTAGTCTTCGTGAATTTGAACTCATCATAGTAATCGTGATCACGAAATTTCGTGAATTTCGTGATCACGATTACTATGATGAGTTTTTGTGGAACTGAAAGTTATCATCGAGTTGTTATCATAATAGAGCTGAACGTTCAGCTGAATAGAATGAAGTGATTGCTGGCATCGAAATGATTTGATTGTAACTTTAGAACGCGAGTGGTCGAAGAAGCAGAGGCCAGTGCAGAAGCAATGAAAAGAATTGGTGAAGCGCGCGCCTCGGTGATTGAACTTGTTGGCAAGGCCGAGGCAGAACGGATGCGTATCCGTGCAGATGCTTACAAAAATTTCGGATCTGCAGCAACCACGGCCCTCGTACTCGACAAAATACCTGAGGTCTGTCGTAATATTACTCATACTTTTGTATCTAGCTCATGGAAAGTATTCGAACTGGAATATTACTTTTTCGTTGATATCATTTGGAAAGAACAGCTGCGATGTGTGCTTTTTGCTGATAATTTCATTGTGAATTGAAAGATGGATAAGAAAGATATGGCGAAAATGAGCGTATTTCATTTGTTGGGTGCAAATTGATCTGATTTTTACTCTTAAATGTAACTCGTCGTACTTTCTTATATTGTATTAATGTAAATTATCTAATGAATATTTTTAAAATCTAAATGACAACCATAACCGAATTTTAGATTGCCGAAAATATCACAAAACCATTGACTCGTACTCGTGAGGTTATAATTATGAGTGGTAATGATGGTGCCACATCAACCATTTCAAGTCTGATGGCAAAATTACCGACAGCCGTTAAGAGCGTCTCAGGAATTGATATGACCAAAGTCATAAATTCCTTCGGTGGTGGTGGTGGCCCAAGCGCCAGCGCCCAGCATGTCTAGCCGAAATCATGTGAATTCAGCTGGAATGCGGATGAGCCAAACATGCCTAGCCGGAAGCATACGAAATCATCCGGAATCTAGACCTGAATTAATATGAAATGCAGTTATACTATCTCATAGATTGCTACTAGAAATCGTGTAGATTTGTCTCATAGATACCCACTAGTGATCGTTCATTTTTTGTTTCATTACTTCTGGACTCATCTCCTTCTTCTTATGCTCGAAACTTGTTTTATTTCGATCTTCCATCAAAATTTCCAATTTCATTTGGTATCAAGCAATATGCGTGAAAGTGTACCTATTTTATGTGTTTACATACGCTGCTTATATAAGTGTAATATATATTGTCTGAGAAGTATTATGCTCATTTTAACGATGCGATGTGCAATATTTTACTGTCTTTCAGAGAAATTACAATCAATTCTCAGAAAGTGGTGATTGAATGGAGTTTGACAATAGACTTGTTTATGATCTTAACAAGAACCGTAATTTGCAAAACCGATTTTAATTTGACATTTGGGAATGGAATGTTCTGATGATGTAAAATTAAGTGAATTGAGTGAGCAACAACATTCTGAACGCATTCGTTTTGGTTGTCCCTCCACCATTAGAGGTGCAAAAGGTTTTGCAAACGTTAACAGTATTCACACCATTCAGCCTTGAAAACGTCCAATGTTAATGTTTACCCGGACTTTGTAGGAAATTTTTTGATTTCTAGTTGATTTGTTTGCTCCATCTACTTCATTTCGCGTCGTCGTCATCATCCTCATTGATTTGTATTGTTGTGTTTGTAATTTTTTCGAACGCGATATCCGAAGATACGAAGCGATTCAGAGCTTTATTTCGGGACGTTGTACATATGAGTGTTATGGAACATATTTAGCGCATTTGAATGTTTTTGGTTCTGCTTGAAGTGAATTACATAACGTGCATTTGAACTTTTCGATATTTTCAATTCAATTGAAATTGTTCAGTTTATTTGTAATTTTATGTGATGTTTTGTTATGTGTGTGNTGTGTGTGACACAATATTTATTGTTACCTGATATTCGTTGTGGTTTTATGATGGATGTTTGAAGTGCGATTTGATACGAGAACGTGGACTGCTTGGTCCAAAGAGAACGCATTTCAGTCCATTCAGTCAGTTTGTTCGAATTGTGACTTTGTTCGAATCTACTGCCATATTCCGCTGAATTTGTGACTTCCATACTGTCATCGTTGCGTTATTCTGTCCGTCAGTTTCTTGTCAAATTTGCTCATTATTTGACTTGTCATTTTGTCACATTGTGGCAAAAATAATCTTTTGAATGCGGTCGATTAAACGTGTTCACCACGGACGGATCTAACAGATTCTATTATATTCATTAGCCTCTTGTCGTGTTCATATTTGGGCATCTTCTATCCGTCCTTTTCTAACGTTGATTCTGAGGACTGTGCGTGGTCTTTTTTTTGCCATATCAATTCATCTTTGAATTATGTAACTGACTCTGAAACATTCCTTGACATCTTAAGATACGGATTGTAATTTCATCGATGCCAAATAGAGCACATACCTTCGAGGAAAGGTGCTGAAGTACTCACACTGTAATTATAATTATTTTCAGTTGTTTCTTGAAATTAGTTTTGTTCGTTTCGTCTTATTCATTCATTTACTGTTGCACCATTGTATTTCTGGAGTATTTTGCCGATTAACTTTCTTTTTTGTTTTATTCGTTGTTATAATTTTGCAGGGAATATTTATAATGTTACAGTTTATGGCATTGAATATGCATTTTTTGGGATGTGAGAAGTTTTTAATATGTGTGAAAATTTTCATCGTGATGTACAATAATTATCATGATAGTTATTGATATCGTTATTATCACTGTTTCACTATTGGTACTATTAATGTTATTGTCATTATTACTCGTTTGGTCAGCAGTTATGGAGTAACTTTCTTATTTTGTTAAGTTTATAGCGTGATGTATGATACTTCATTATTACTCGTCATGAGTTAAGTTTACAACTTTCTTATTTTGTTAAGTTTATAGCGTGTATTTAAAGTAGTATTATTAATGACATTAATAATTCTATCGTGCGTGTTTTTTGCGTGCAGAATTCATTTTGTTAAGTTTATATAGCGTGATGTATGACGGTATATACATTATTCTTGATGATGTACTAATATCTTTCATGTTCAGCATTCATAATCTTATCTCAAAAAGTGATGCAATGTCTTTTTGTGTTACGAATGGTTCCATCAAAGATATGATATCAAAGAATGATGTTCAGAATAAGCCTCAAATTTGCTATCTCTTCACTCTTTTAGCAATATGTTTTTTTGACCATGTATTATTTATATCATTGTCGTTGATATTATTATTATTTTTATCATTATCATTATGATTGTTATTGTTAATCATACAATGACATGTATGAACTATTTAATCAACACAGTATTTACATATGGCGGTAGGCATTTAATCACCCTGCAGTATTCATTTTATTAAGTACGACAGTACTAATGCTTTTTCGTAATGTATTAACAATTCTCAAGTGCAGTCATTCATAATCCTGTCTTCAGAAATAAATTAAGTTCTCTTATAGTTACGAATGTTTTTTACAAGTTCCATATCGATATGGTATGCTACCAAGAATTGAATTCATATTTGTTACCTTCTTACTCTTCTAGCAATACATATTTTATTGCGTTGCTGTTATTGGAACCGAAAACGCTATATATTTTCATAGACTTATTCGAGAGAAGTATTTGGGAAAAGTAGTTTTTTTCGGAACAGTCAGATTGCTCCACGATGAACTACTGAGTTCAGAGACCATCTGAAAGAATATAGTAGTGGTGGATTGATTAGAGACGGTGATGGTTTTCCCAGATTAGATGACAAATGAAGATTCTGTTGGGAATTTGAAATC